CACTTCGAATGGTATGATTGTTGTGATTTTAACTATGTATGGTTTCTATGTTTTGTAACCCTGTTTGTACTTCCCCTCCCTTTTTTGAGTTGTGAGCCGCCCTGAGTCCCTTCAGGGAAAAGGGTGGCATACAAATAAATTAAACCTAAACCTAAACCATATGAGGAAATCAGCTATTTAATGCTCCAATAATTATATACTTTTTAATATAATGTGTACAGTAAAATAGTTACTATTAATGATCTTTTACCACATTTATGTCTCACAATATTTTTTGTAGCACAAACCAAATCAAATTTAATAATTTCCATATTAAAGATTTAGGATTCATACAGCTTGGATTTAAAGAATTCTCTCTGGGGATTCCTTAGTGTATTTGAGAAGTGTTTTGTCTCAAAACTCTAATATAGCTAAATGTCTATGTTATTGCTGCCCAGTTGGATATAATCATGAAGTTTAGTGCATTGGATATAATGAATCAGTGAAGCAAAAGGAAGGAAATTCATAGAGAAACCAAGTTTAGTATTTATACATTTTTCAAAAGATGTTGCCATGGTATCATAGCAATGACCTTTAAACAGTTTCCCTCTGAGTGGGAGGAGGGCAGATGTCTCCTCCGTTAAAAAGCATATTTGCATAAGAAAAAGAAATATTTTTTCTATAACGGTGTCATGCCACCATGCTGTGAGGACTCTTTGTTTTATTCACTAAAACTGTCTGTAGAGGGAGTAGGATTGGGAGGGGGGGTTACAATTTGATAGCATTATGACAGTATTCAGTGAACACATCTGTTTCTTTCCCTCTCTCTTTTTCTTTTTCTGCTATTTGAAATTGAACAAGTTGAAGCAGTAAAAACTTTCTAAACTGCCTCTACTGATTTGTCTACTTCCATGGTTTAGTCTCTCTTAAGCCTAAATGTAAATTAAGATATAAATACAAATGAAAATGAGGTATTAAAAACATATGTGGTAAACCAAAAAGAAATCACATCAAGAATGAATGTGTGCTAAATGAATGTGGACTGAGTAAAAAAAAATCACTACAAAAGAAATACATCAATATTGTTTCATTATTCAGAGAATAAATAAAGATCGGTTTGCAAAACAAACAGAAGAAGAGTGAATTGGTTGAGAGAAAGGAGAATACCAAAGACCTCATGGTTGGATGTTGAAGATGAGATCTTGACAAAGAAAGAAGCAAGACGTTAAAAGAATAAAAGGCAATGCATGATTGTGGTAGAAAAAAGAACCAGTTGCAAAGATTTATGGAAAGGAATTGTGAATGTATGATTATAAACTAAGTTTCTTCTCACCTACAATTCAGCTTTGTTAAACTCTCCTTGTCCAATCATGTCCAACTCTAGGGTGAGGTGTTCATCTCCATTTCTTGGCCGAGGAAGCCAGTATTGTCCAAAAACATTTTCTGTGGTCATGTGACCCAGAATGGCTATATGCCAAATGTACACAGAACACTATTATGTTCCCACCAAAATGGTACCTATTAACCTACTTGCAGTTGCATGCTTTCAAACTGCTAGCTGGGCAGGAGCTGGAGCAGGAATGGGAGCTCACCCCGTTGTGCAATGCTCAAACCTGGGCTGTCAGCTTTCCAGATGACAAAGTCAGTATCTTTAACCACTAGGACATCATGCACCCTACATTGCCACAATCTTGACATAAGAAAAAGAAAGATTGCCTGTGATAGGATTGGCATAATTTTTGTTTGTGCAAAAGCATTGTACTGCACAATGTTTCATATACAGCATCCCTATATAATTCCTAAGCACCTGGATCTTGAAGACAGAATTGATCTTCATAATTTCCTCTTGTAGAAGTACATTCAATTAGATGATGTTATTCAAAAATCAAAAGGAAACTGGTAGCACCTTTTTCAGATGGACTGTTTTATTAAAAGGTAGAGTGTTTTGTGAACTGCAGCTCACTTCAGCAGATGACTCACAAGTGGAAGAATTGCAAACATAGAAAACTTGGATGGAATAGAAGGAGGCTAGTGAATTTCCACAGCTGAATAAGAATCTATTGAGATGATGCTGGATCTTTAAGGAATTTGTTAATTCAGAATACTTAAAGCAGGTTTTCAGCCATCAAAATCATTATTTTTTTAGTTCATACATGTAGAAATACATAATGTATATGGAAAAACCTAGAATTTTCATGGATTGTAAGACAGAGAGTCCTTCTCTTACGTTTCTTAAGTAAACATTGCTATCTTACATGTAAAGGGATAAAAACAATTATATCTCATAATGTTTATAAGACAAATCTTATCTTAACTAAAGATGTTGCAATCTACATGGGACAGAATGGCATGAAGTCCCACAGAGAGAGTAACTACATTTAGTCAAATAGTCATAGATAGTCCAACTATGAATTTTCACCAATAATGATGGTTGGTGAGGAATGTACGTTGCATTCCCAACATACATTTATCCAACAGATAACTATACATTGTAACTTTTTGTGTACAATATATAGAAAGCAGAAGTCAAATTAAGACATGTTAATATTGGTAATGACTACCAACTCAGACATTACATAGGACTTTTCCTAACTGTAACTCTATCTATTCAAACAAATTCATGGGGAAAAAAGGATAACTGATTTTTATATTCTCAATTAAACTAAAATAAGGTGGATAGTTTGCAATACAGCTTGTTGTGGAAGTTTATCTATATTTGTTAAAACTTTTTCTCTCTCTAAAAAAAGAGGAAATCAGGGAACAATCATTCCAGAAGTTGGCTTAACTGAATTTTTGCCATTCACAAATATTACCATCAGCAACTTCCTTGTGGGTATACAGTATCTTAAATTGCAAATTAAGTACTATGCAGATGTCATGCATACATACGGACTCATCAAATTATTCATTTGCAAACAATGTTATGCAAAGTATGGAAAAAGGAAAAACAGCAAGCAAAATAAATTAAAGACAAGAGTTAAGAGGCAAGAGAAAGAAATCTAAGTCTGGTTTACAACTTCTAGATTGTCCATATACAGATTTATAAATTGCCTTTTGTCTTTTAAATGTCTCATCTTTATTTTTAATGATCATATATACGAGTTGATTGTATATATTACAAATCTTTCCAAATAATTCACTATAAAATAGACTACTTTTAGTTATAACTAAATCCTCCTCTCCATCACCAACAAAGAAGTTAAAGAATTCCTTAATTCATAGAATTGAGCAATAGCAAAATCTTCCAAATTCACTGTCAGCTGTTTAGTCCCCATCAACAACAATACATTAAAAGCAGTGAAGAATGGATTGCATGCAGCACAGAAAAGAACACATCAGGTTCTGAAAATGGCATTTTCAGCAATGCAGACATAATGCTAAGGATGCTTCAAGAAGAAAGTAAGCCATATGAACCTTATCTCACCTAAAGCCCCTTGGCAGATATCAGTCCGGGTGGCACCTTCAATAATAAACTGAGGTTTGGAACACAATTCCTGGCAAAAAAAAGAATAAAATAAAACTTTTAGAGCTACTGTTTTAAGGATATGATTAAGAATTAGATAGATGATTGTTTGGGAATTCCAGGGTTGTTGCTAGCCTGGAGAGTCTGAAAAAAAACATCACAAAGAAGGCATAACTTCTACAACATTGCCAATAATCTTATTTGGATCCAATCACCAGAAGTCAGCCTTTGGTTGAAGGGTGAGTTTGTGTTTTATTTATGGACCTCCTCAGCTGTGGAATCAATGTCCATGGGATGCTGAGATTATATTTCTCAACATAAATCATAAAGGTTTCAGTCAGCTTACTTAGCTAAATCTCATAGAAGACAAAGTATTCTGTTTAAACAAATGAAATTGAATAGCAAGCGAAGCTCTTACATCTTCATTATGTTATGAGATGTAACATAATTCATTTTTATTTCCAATGTTTAGGCTATGACCGCCCTTGTTTAGGTAACCTAAACAGGACCATTCAAGCATTACTGAAAGGCATTATTATTCTCATTCACTGCACAGTCAGCCAACTGTTTAGACTGGATTTGACATTTTTATCCACCTATTAAGTCCTTCCCAAGGACCTGGGATAGGGAGATATTGTTGCCTGATGATATTAAAGGTATAGATAAATACGTATGTAGTTCTCAACGGAACTACATCTACATGGAGGAAAGTATGTAGTAGGTACCACAAGGTTGTTTTAGGCCTAGTACTCTTTAACATCTTCATAAACAATTTAAATGAGGGGATAGAAGGGAAACTCATTAAATTTGCAGATGACACCAAGCTAGGGGGAATAGTCAACATTTTAGAAGATGGACTCAAAATTCAGAAGGAACTTGACAGTAAAACACTAGATCCTATCCAACAAAATGCAATTTAGTGATGAGAAAAGTTAAAGATTTTACACAAGTAAAGAAAAACCACAGGTATAGAATAGGTGGTGTTTGGCTCAACAGCAATAATTGTGAGAGGGATCTTAATGACCTACTGGACAATGACTTAAGTATGAGCCAGGCCAGCAGTGTGCTGCAGCTGCCAAAAAAGCCAATGCAGTTCTAGGCTGCATCAACAGAGGGACAGTATCATCATGTGATGTTATAGTAACATTTCATACTGCACTGGCAAGACACTTAGAATACTCTGTCCAATTTTAATGACAACACAAAAAAGATGTTAAGATTCTAGAAAGATGAATGGTTGCAGGAACTGGCCATGTCTAGTCTAGTGATGAGAAGGACTAGGAGTGACTTGATAGCAGTCTTCCAATATTTGAGGGGCTGCCACAGAGACAAGAGGGTTCTCCAAAATACCTCATGACAGGACAAGAAGCAACAGATGGAAACTTATCAAAGAAAGATCCAATCTAGAACTAAGAGAAATTTCTTGACAGTGAGAACAATTAATCAGTGGTACAGCTTGCTTCCAGAAGTTGTATGTACTCCATCACTGGAAGTTTTTAAGAAGATATTGGAAAGCCATCTGTCTGGAATAGTATAGGGTCTCTGGTTTGAGCAGGTGTTTGGACTAGAAGACCTCCAATGTCCCTTCCAACTCTGTTATATTGTATCATTGCAGAATTCAAGCTGTTCCAAGTGAAGCTGCCCTTTAATTGACTGATGGTAATTTTGTCAGTATTGAAGGTGTTCAACTGGTGTGTCAGTTATTTTGGTATTTGGAGTTCAAGGCACTTATCACCATTAGTACTATCTTTGTTTGTTTTGACACAGTTATTCTATTTCTATTTGCAGGGTTTTGTATTTTGTGATTTTCTCCCCAGTTCTTTCTCTTCTATCCTGCTATTTCTAGGTTCTAGGTTCTGCCAAGCTGTTTGAATTGTAAAGGTCCCAGAACATTTTGTCTTCTTTATTTTCAATTACTTTGTCTATTTTATGGTTCCATCAGTTCTTGCTTGCAGGCGAATGATATTTCTTGCAGATCTTCCAATGCACCATTGTTGGTACTCTGTCATGCCACTGTTTGTAGTCAGTTTGTGCAACTTCTTCCAGCAACTAAGTAAGTGGTCTATTGTTTCTTCAGCTTCTTTGCAGAGGCAGTATTTGCTGCCTATTGCTGTCTTCTCAATTCTCACTTTGTATGCATTTGTTCTTATGGCTTGCTTTTTTGCATCCAGAATTAGCCCTATGTATCTTTCTTCAACTTTCTCGCTCTTAGGTATTGCCAGATCTTGTTATCTGCTTTGCCTATTTTCTTAAAGTACTGGACATGTAATACGTTTCCCTGCTATGTCCTTTTCCAGTCTTCATTTGATCTTTCTTATACACCAGTTTAGTCTCTCCAGTATTCAGTCAGCGTTCATTGTCTAGTAGTGCATTTTCTCCAATGTCCTTCAGATATTCCAATATCCTTTCTTCTTCTTTGTCTCCTGTACTTGCAACATTGCACACCCACCTATTTTCCTTAGTAAGTAGAGTCTATCAACATTGCTGTATGGATGAATGGCATGTTTTACTATCATTGTTTTTCTGAAATTTCTATGTATGGCTTTTAGTTCTGCTTGAGTCCAGTCCACAACTCCAACTTGTAACTACTACACTAGTTAGCAGTTTGAAAGTTTTTGGTAAGCAGGTACGGGTAGTCCTCGAGTTGTGCCCCATTTTACAAATTTTCTTGTCACATTTGTTAAGTGAATCACTGTAGTTGTTAAATTAGTAATACGGTCACTAAGTGACCGTGACCCATTGACTTTGTTTGTCAGAAGGTCGCAAAAGATGATCACCTAACCGTGGGACACTGCAACTGTCACAAATATGAACCAAGCATCTGAATGTAAATCATGTGACCATGGAGATTTTGTAACAATCATAACTGTGAAAAATAATCATGTCACTTTTTTCAGTGCCGTTGTAACTTTGAATGGTCACTGAATGAATTGTAAGTCAAGGACTACCTGTAATTGATCTGTAGTTGCTTGGTGCAGCTCTTTTAGCTGGATCTTTCATTATCAGGTAGATTTTGCAGAAGTTACCCAAATGTCAATGCTGGGTGTTATCAATGAGTGGATGCAGACTAGTCAAATGTTTCAACCAAACACCATGCACTTCAGCTTCACCTTATGCTGCCCAATTCTGGACCCTCCTTGCCCTTTTCTCCACCATTTCTGCTATTCTTATAAATTCTTTTATTCCAGATTCTTTTTTATTCTTAACCATCTTCTTTATCAAGCTGCATTTTGCTGTATTTTTTGGTTATCCCATAACTGGAACATTTCAAGCACTTCATCAATGGATTGGTAGAAACCTTTCTGATTTGACTGAAACTGGAGATTCTGCCTATAGAATGCAATTCTGACTTCATATCTGCTGATCATTTTGGTTATACCTGCTATTTGCTGCTTTATAATTTCCAGTGCTTCTTTAATCTTCCTTGTTTCTAGGTGATATTTCTTAATCCAGTATTCTTTTGGTTTTCTTTTTTTCACCTTCTTTTTTTTTCAATTGTTAGCACACTAATCTTATTTTCCAGCCTGTTCTTGAATTTTGATGGTGCACTCTTTGGCTTTCCCCCCTTCTTTGTTGATTTTGTATTCCAGTTATTCAGTTGTAACTGCCGAATTAAAAAGATGCACCTTATGCTCCTTTTCCAAAAAAACCAAGACATAGAGACCATTGGCAACTATGGAAGGATATGCATACCAGCTTGAATGTGACATACACTGGAAAGTTCTTCTAGAACAGTGATGGCGAACCTATGACACGCGTGTCAGTGCTGACACACGCGTGTCA